TAATTTCCCCAATAGCACCCCCCATGTCTCCAATATCCCACATCGACACTCCCCACTCTCTCCATGGACTCGGAAAGACTCACATTATCCCGAGAAAACCCTAAAGTGAAAGTTGCAGAACCAAATCCAGCAGCATACCCAAAACAAATTAATCAAACCTTACGTACTCTCACAAATTAATCAAACTCAATTAATAGTTTAATAGTGTTCAGAAATGAAGTTACGAAACCAAATCCAGCATACCCAAAAAAAATTGCAAAACCATGAAATTGAAAAGCTACATATCAGATTTATTAGAACCAACGAAATTGAAAAAAAAATTTGCAAAACGCATATGGGGGGGGGGTGAGAGACTAACCTTGCAAATGAGGGAATTTGTGGGTCGAGACTCGAGACTCGAAACGGCGAGAAGAAGTCGTGGGTCGCGGGTCACCAGTCATGGGGGTGAGAGACTGAGAATGAGATGACGACAGCAGCGAAATGTGAGACAGGTCGCAGGTGGAGCTGGGAATGAGATGGCCCAAGTGAGAGTACGTACATAGGGATAATGGAAAGGGAATGGATAGATATGTTTAGGGTTTCAGACTGAAGAAGGTAGGCGTCGTGCTACAAATTTGATTGAACGACGCCATTCAAGGGAAAAAAAAATTTATAAATTAATATGAAACGACATTGTTTTGCTTATACTTCGGTTCGGTTTTACACTTTCGGTTCAATTTTTTTTTCGCTTCGATTTTTTTCGGCCTCGGTTCGGTTTTTTGCGGTTTTTCGAACTCACCCCTACTTAGTATAGCAGATGTAGAACAAGTGTGTTTTACGGTGATTACTTGCGACCCAAGTTACTCAGACTTCTTGTTATCAAAGGATTGTCGTGGATGGGTTAAGTCCACATTAAGTTCTTTTTCTTGCCTTGTAAACAAGGACTTTTAATTCATAATCTTGTATGTTCGAATGAAGGGAGTCTAGATCCCCTTAAGTCATTTGTTTGGTCTTAGATTGCTTTTAATGAAAACACATCCATTAAACTAACCGGATCCAGATGTAAATGAGACTCTTAAAATAGGAAAACAAAAGAAAATAACTTGAATACATGCTAGAGAATACATTTAAGCAATAGATCTACTAATTTAGAACACAAACAAAGAGCTTCGGGCAAGATTTCACCTTGTCTGGCAAGGTTAAACTTTTTGCAGTCACTTCTCTTTGAGTTTACATGGGTTATATACTAAAAAATGATGTATGGTAAATAAGTTTACACGAGGGAATCGATACTATGATGCTAGAAGGTAGCAGAGCTTTAAACTAGAGAAAGATAGGCTTTCTAAGGAAAACTATTGGTAAAAGATATAAGATCTGGGCTGATTACAGCTTCTAAATGCAAATATGGGCTTGAGAGTAGAGTTTGTATGTTTGTTTGTTTGATTAGTTGAGTGTCCTTGTCTCTGGGGCCTCTTCCTCATTTTATAGACAAATTAGCCCGACTGCCGTGACTTTGTTCTTACCCGAAAACACTTGGAGGGTAGTGAGTCATCAGCTTTTTACTTGGAATGCCACTAGAAAGTGTTATTTGGCTGGTAGTAGGTTAGTCTCCATCACTTGTCACTTCAATGGTAAGCACATGGTTTGTATCTTGGCTAAGAATACCTTAATTTGCCTTTCGGCTTAATGCTGGGCTTCGGGCAAGTCCCATTTTGATTTGGCACCCTTAGGATTTCCTTCATCTAAGTCCAATGTTCAAATATTAATCCAAACAATGCCCCTTATAATCATTGTTGAGTCTGCAAATTGAGGCGTTAATAATGATTAAATAGCTGTCACACACCTTCACTCAGGACTTGCGCCATTTAAAATAATCGTTGTTTAACAAAACCTTTGCATTAACCCACAAATTCCAATGTTAACCAACCACTTACTATATAATCCCTACATAAACTCTTCAGCCAAATACCTTAGCAATTTCAAACCTTCAAATTTCCAGAACTCTCATTATTCTCAGAACCTTCGCAGTATGCTCTTGCTTTCTCAGTTTTTACTCCTTAATCTTCAATCATCTCCTCATTTTTCTTCAACTCTACTCAACGGCACCCAAAGTCGTTAGCACTCAAATTTTCTGCGAGACTGGTGAATGGATTAATACCATGCGCCGTTTACTCAATAATCTACATTGCCTTCGGGCAAGCCTGCACACTGAACTTTTCTTCGAGGAGGGAGAAGTGCACTCATAGGGCCTGCATGGACCTCTCTAGTCCCTGTAGTTGTAGAGAACAATATGCCCAAGGAGAATTGGTTTACCCTGAACCCATTTTTGACCGAGTCAGGCATCTCCTCCTCCAAATGCTCAAACCACCATTGTGGTTTCCTTTGATGAAGGACGAAGGATGGACGCAATGGATCAACGAGCTTGAGCCTACCTTTAAGCAAAAGTGGATGAACAACTGCATCTATGAGCTGATAATGCTCTATAAAACCACTGTGATCGTTAAGCCCAGGCTACTCACCACGACTCTCCTCTTCTGGAACTCGAGCATTAATACCTTTGACTTTAGGATGGGTCCAATGTCTCCAACTATCCTAGATATGGTGCAAGTCTTCAGGCTAATGCCCTCGAGCAAGGCCGTAGACGTTACCCATAATTGGGCACCTCCTTCTTGCCCGACTGCTGAGAGCTTAGGCAGCCCTAGTCCCATGATCCAACTAGATTATAATTCTTCTACCTTCAAGAGTTATAGGACCTCATTTACGGGTTTTATCCAGTTTTCCAAAAAGGAATTTGGCCCTTCATCCTCTAATGCCAACAAAGACCAATAACACATGTGCTTCCTACCGTACTGGCTCAATAAACACACCTTCCCAAACAAGTCCAAGGGAGTGAAAGTTGAATGGATCCTTCTAGTGGAAGCGTTACACAACTTCGATGATATGGCCATGGGCCCCTTCCTTCTCTCTCATATATACCATCTTCTCTTCGAGATGACTTGGGAAGAACTATTTGAAACCAACCTCAATGGGACAACCTAGATGGTCTAATTGTGGTTGCAATGGTATTTCTCTGAACTTCGAGCACCTAATCTCGAATTTCCTGAAGGCATTGCTCCCGTCTGAATCTTAGTTGAGGCTTCACCTATAAACCGCTCCACCTTCTCTTGTCTTTACTTTTTCAGAGTTTGCAGGACTCAGGCAGATCTGGAGTGGGGATTTTCAGTGTTGAGGAGATACCCCTGGTTCTTTGGCCACACCTTCCAAGAATCCTTTGAGGAGGATGTTAGCCCTTTCTGCAGAGAGAGATTCATCAGTTGCATCCAGCCAAGGGACCTAGCTTGGGGAGTAAGGAGCAATTGTTATGAGCGTGGGCTAGAGGTTTACCACCCTGATGTGAAATATTCTAACACTCAAATTAAAACCCTATGATTATAGTATATGAAAGTAGGGATCGTTTTAAGCCGGAGATTAGAAGGGATGCTAATCTACTCAATTTAAACTCTAAATCACTAAACTAGACTCAATAACAGAAAACGAGGCTTAAAAACACTTAACTAGACTCTAAGACTCTTAACTAGACTTATATGACTCAAAACAAACTAAAAAGACTCATAACAACACAAAATAATCAAATAGACTCAATCTAGACATTAAAGGGTGATTTGGACGAATTCTAATTCAACTTTGACTCAAAACACTTAAAAACACAAATTTGGACATATTCTAACTAAAAGACACAACCAAGTAAATGGGGATTGGATTTTGGACGAAATTAAGGTAAAAACAAGCAGATTGTAAACTTAAACTAAGTTGCACGAAATTGGGGTAAATTGATGGGTGATAGGCTAGCTAAAGGGTCATTCTCCACACATGATACACTTGCATACAAATTGATTTCCAGTTGCTTTTCCAAAAAACTATGAACCTCAACGCCCTAGATTAATCGTGAACAGCACTAATTAACCCTCAGATTTTCCTTAAGTTATTGAATTGGATGGGATACGCATCGGCAACCAAATTATTATTCAATAGTTCCTTACATGAACAACATAATAGAGATACAATCAAAGATCATTAAGCTTTGTGAAAATCATAAGCATTGACAAGGCATTCGTAACTATGAACAACATGATACTCCTGCCAGAAATTTACTTAACACGATTGTGACTAGCAACCTCCATTACTTGCAAATATAAGTTCATAACGATTAGGTAAAAATCCCTTATATTCTAGCATCAAATTCATGCATGCAAACTAAGCGGGCCCTTTTAATCAACACACAAGAATAAGTTTTTAATCAACAGTTAAGTAAATTGTATTCACAATTTATGAAATCATAACTAGAAGTAATCAATTCATATTGCAAATATAATCATGGTTTTGAATTCTCCTCTAGCTAAAACAAGTTTAGCTCTTCATGTTTGCAAAACAAAGATAATTAAATTTAAACATTGAAAACAAAGATAGAATACACTTAGAAACGCTCCAACCAACGTCTTGAATGGCAAGCACGACTCCAAGTGGCTCCTCCTTCCTTCCTTGTTGCGGCACAATGGGGATTTTCTGAATTTAGGCTCTTGAGGTGTGGTGGATGGTGTGGTGATCTGATGGTAGAGGGTGGAGATTGAATTATGCGGCATAGACATATATTTATAGGCTTAGGTGCGGCAGATTCCTAAAGGGAAATGGTTACTTTTTTGCATGATTTTAGGACTCCTTAAATCAGATGGGAATGTGATAAGGAATCCCCCTTGCAGCTAGAGTTAAGGTAAGATAGGATTAGGATAAGATAAGATAAGATAAGGTTGGATAAGTTTTGGATAAGATACAATAATTTGGATAATGTTCTTTCTTTGCAGCTGATTCCTTATCTTCAATGCTTCCAAATTTGTTTCTCCGGATATTAAGCAAATTCCTAGCCTCTCTTGATCTTCAAATTCGTCCATCCACCTTGCTCCATACTTATGTTATCCATTCCAAGCCCAAAACTGCTCTAAAATGCTCCAAATTGCAATTTCTTGCCAACTTTGTCAATTGAACCTGAAAACACATGAAAATAGCTTAAAACACTCTAACAAGTAGAAATTAGCTATGTAAATGTAAGAACTAAGTCGCATAAATATGCTCCTATCACACCCCAACTTCTACACTAGGCAGTTGGGGTTTAGACAAGCTATCAATGTACCCTTTTTCGATTCAGTTCACTGTAACACTTTATATAGTCTCCGTTCTCTACTATAACTTACATTCCAAACTACCCGAATGAGTCTTGAGGTTATAAGCAGAATCGCCAGAAAACCCATGACCCTCAATTTTGAATGTACTTCAAGCTTTTCTTATTGGTGGGAATCAAAGTGGACCAAGAAGTATGGAGGAGACTTGCACAAAGCACATAACCGCCTCTTCAAGCAACTTACAATCAAATCCTATCCAAAGCCAAGTGAATTTGAAGATTGGAAGGAGATGATTCATCAGAAGAACCAACTACTTCTAATAGGTATCCCTTATTTCTTCAACTTGTAATTTATGAAATTTTCATGAATTTGTCATCTTCTAATCTTTCCTTGGTTTCTTTACACTTGCAGCCCAAGGCAATTCCACAGAGCTGGACGTCGGGCAAGATGAAGATACTGCAGACGCCTTTGTGCTCTAAGAAGTTGCAGCTAAGGCAGAGAGACGAGGTGCTGGAGCAGGTGGAGACATCTTCGAGCTTCTTGGAGACTCGGAGGGCAAGATTAAGCCCGTAGTGGAGACTTAGGCAACGCATCGGACTCGGGCAATAGTAGTGGAGACTTCAGAGTCTAAGCTTGAAGAGTAGCCTCGGGCTCAACTCTCCATCCCTGGTCCGTGGGCAAACCCCACCAAGAAGAGGACAAGAGCTCAGACTTCCAAACCATCCAAGTCTTCTACTTTAATGGCTGAGGTAGGCAGGAAAAAATAAAAAGCTTATAGTAAGTGAATCTTGCTTCAACCCTCTTCTCTTTCTTGTATTTTCATGTTAAGAGCTAACAACTCCATTTCTTTTGGGTTTAGGGCCCCAAGCAACCAAGAAACCTACTGTTGTTTCCATGGATGATTCTCTGGGGGCCGAGATGTATCAACAAGCCAATGATTTGCAAGATTCTACCCTTGAAGCATTGGAGGTATGGCCTACATCTCAAGTTTACTCTTTTGAGTTTTCCTTTTTCTCATTTTCTCAAGTCCCTGCCCGATTTCTTGAAGTAGGCCATAAGAGAAGAAAGGATAACTCTGCCTAAGACCTCTTCACTTCATGCCCAAGAGGCACATGCTTCTCTTTCTAGGGCTAAACCTTCCAACATATGTTTCTTCTCTATTCTTTAAACTTGTATCTTCACCTAATTCAGAGATTTAACTTCTACTTTTACTTTTGTAGGGCAAGGTGGGAATAGCTGCACCCTCTATCGGGCAAAGTTCCATTCCTTTGGTGGTGACTCCAACTTCGCAGTTTGATCCATCCACTGGGGAGATGTTGCACTTCGTGAAGGATGACAATAATCTAATGAGTACCTCATCTTGATATGTTTATGCTTAAAGCCCTCTCCCTCTTTTATACTTATTTTCTTTTACTTTTTTCAGTCCTCTCTAGCACAAAAATCTCATCGACCAGTAGCATCTGCTTTTGGGGATCCTATAGTTCCTGAGATCCTCATGGTTTCAGAGGCAACTAGTCTGAGGGTTTCTCGGGCAACTTTTCCTGATGTAGTTGCTGTTCCCAAAGTGTTCATCTCTTAACCTTAAGCTCCATCTCAGGCATATTATTATTTAAACTTTTGCTTTCTGTTTTCTGCAAACTATATTATTGACACTTGTCTTTTCCTTTGTCACTTGTAGGCTTCTGTTGAAGGTTCGGGCAATATCTCCCCTTCTCCCATAAACAAGGATGATTCTTCTCAACAACCAAGTGTCCTCACTCCTCCTCCTTCTTCTTCCAAGGCTTTAGGCTCCACTCAGGTAAAATATTTTCCTCCTCTCTTGTTTTTTTTTAACTTTAGTTCGAGGGCTACCTCCTTACTTTGTTTTTCTTGGCTTGTGACAGGGTCTTTGAAAAGGCTCGAGCAGATCTCCTCTGCCTTTAGTGGGCAAGGCAGATCTTCCAAGGCCTCCCTTGGCCTCTGGGGTGATGGGGATTCCCATTCCTTGGCCTAAGAAGAAGACCAAAGTTGCTGCCACTACTTTCTTTTCTGCTCCTACTCCTGAGATCCTTCATCATCCGTCAATTGGAACTGTCCTTCTCATATTACTGAAGAGATGCCCCCAACCACATCAATAGCATCATTACCCGAACTTATCAAGAAGTTCGGGTAAATCAAGACTAAGCTACAATCTCATCCACCTTTAGCCAAGTCTCCCCTTCTCCAAAATGCTCGTTAAATTTTCAACGATTGGATGAAGAGGGATTTCACAGCTTCTTTCAACCTTAAGGTTCTTCATGATGCTAAGAAGGCCCTTATCGAGGTATACAAAGCTCAGTTACTGTTAAAGGCTCAATACGAGTCATTTGTTAATTTCTTTGAGAATCAGTGGGCACTGAGGGACCAGTATTAAAAAGCGGGGCGAGTATCCAACATAGTGAAGTGCTTTCAAGAGAAACATATGAAGACCTCAGCCACTCTTTAGCAGTTGGTGGAGGAATAATCAATTATGAAAGATAGGATTGCAATGGTTGACGCTGAGATTCAATGACTGGAAGAGCAACTTCCTTCTTTGAAGGATGAGAAGATGACCCTTGCTACTCACCTCTTCCAGAAAACAGAAGAAATGGAGAAGATTTCTCGAGAAGTGGAGGATTCAAAGGCCCAACTTACCAATAGCAATATGTATCTAGGAGAACTAAGCCGAATTTTCACCATTAGGCAAACTTATTATTCCAGAATAGTTGCCTTGGCTGAGGATGCAAAGTTGTTAGGCTAGGATCTCTTGTAATTCTTTTTACATGAAATGAAATGTACTTCTTCTTCATCTTCACTTATCTCAATTTTTACTTTACATTGAAGTTTTACCAATAGTAATCTGACTCCAACTCCTCTTAACTTGCTTAGGCTTCCTCAATATAACAATCTCTTACGTCCCATAAAGTTGGATGGTATTTCTTTAAAAACTTAGCATTAACTGGATGTTTTTGCAAGTTACCCTCAAGATCTGTCAAGTAATATCCTCCCTTATCCAGTGCTTGGTGAATAATAAAAGGACCTTCGCAAGTAGGACTCTATTTCCCAAAGCCTCTTACTTGAGCTTCTAAGGGCAAAACTGCTTTCCAAACTAATTCTCATTCCTTGAAGTTTTTCAACCTCACCTTCTTATTGTATGCTCAGGCAACAACTCTATTCCCTTCTTGAATTTTAGTTAAATCTTCAATTCGGGCTACATCTAGATCTTCAACTCCTTGACACATAACCTGAAGATATTCTTCACTGTGTAGCCCAAATTGGTTTTGAATCCTAATAGAATTCACATTTATCTCCATGGGGAGCACAACGTCTTGCCCGAAGGTTAGGGCGTATAGAGTAGTTCCAGTTCATGCCCTCTTGGAGGTTCTGTAAGCCCACAAAGTGTCTCCCAACTTCTCGTGCCACTTCTCTGAATTATCTGCCACCATTCTTTTAATAATGTTTACCAAGATCTTGTTGCTAGCTTCTGCTTAACCATTTGACTAAAGGTAGTAAGGACTAGATTGAACCATCCTTATCTTGAACTTACTTGCAAATTCTTCCACTTTCTTTGAAATAAAAGATGGCCCTCGGTCTGTGACAATTGTCTCGGACACCCCAAATCTGTGTCTGATCTTAGTTTCAATGAACTTCTTGACTATAGTTGAGGTGATAGTTTTGACAGCTGAAGCTTCCACCCACTTAGTGAAGTAATATGTTGCCATGATTATGAGTGTATGTCATTTGCTAGAAGCTGGATAGATCTGCCCGATGAAGTCCATTGCCCATCCTTTTAAAGGCCAAGGTTTGACCACAGGGTTCAAGGGTTCTGAGGGTACATGTTGGAGAGGCTCATGCCTTTGACATTTTTCACACCCTCGGCATAGGCCTTGCAGTCTTTCTCCATATCGGGGCAAAAGTAACCATATCTTCTAAGTAACCACCTCATCTTGGTTCCAGCTTGATGTGCTCCATAGATTTCTTCATGTACTTCAGCCATGACTCTCATAGAAGCATTTTAACAACAATCCATCTAGAAACTTTCTTAGTAGGTTCTCCTCCTACATGATATACTTCGTTGCTTGCTGTCTATTTCTCTTACTTGTGGGGAAAAAAAATGATTTCTAATCTTCTATTTCTGGCTCTTTAGTCATCACATCTATGTTGAATCCTCTATCAAAGATGGATGGGAGATTCCACTTTTGTACTTCTATATTTACTTCAAACTTCCTTTCTTGGATCTGTGCTCCAGAAGCCATTTGTGCCATTTCATTGGCAATTGAATTTGATTCTCTGGGGATATGGCTGACTGATATTTCAGTACCCCAATAAACCAACAATTGAGTGGCTGCCAAGTAATAACCAACCATGGTGATGTGTCTGCACTTGTACTCCCCATTTAGTTGATTGATCACCAACTCTGAATCACCAAACACTTCAACTTCAGTTGCCCCTAACTTAATCAAGATTTCCAGGCCAATTATTAGCGCCTCATACTCTGCCCGATTGTTGGTAGTCTCTTGATAGTATAGAATGAATGAATAATAATGGTGAGTACCATTGGGATCAATGATAACAATCCTGGCTCCAATAGCATTTTGAGTGCAAGAACCATCAAAATACAATCTCCAATAAGTGATCCAGAGACCAGCTATTCTTTTTATCTCTTGTTGGATCCATTATTCTCTGCCCCGAGAAGGCTTTGCTTGATGAGATCCACACACTGGCCACTTCCAAAGTTCTTGGGATGTTGATAATCTCATCTTGAGACTCTTGGTGCTCAACCAAGAAGTCTGCAACTGCTTGTCCCTTGATCGCTTTTTTAGGCACATATTGAAAGCTGAACTCTGATAGTGTTAGAATCCATTTTCCAATCCTCCAAGTTAATATTGGTTTTGACAGCATATACTTGATCACATCAGTCTTGGCAATAATGTGGATGTGGCAAGGCAACATGTAATGCCTTAACTTGCAGGCAGTGAAGTATAAAGTCAAACACAACATTTCTATTGGAGTATACCTTGTTTCTACCTCAGTAAGGATTTTACTGAGGTAGTAAATTGCTTGTTCCTTCCCACCTTCATTGTTTTAAGCCAACAAACTTCCCATTGATTTTTCAGAGGCAAAAATATAAAGCTTTAAAGGCTTCCCTCTCTGAGGTGGCATGAGCACTGGTGGAGAAGTTAAGTAAGCCTTTATTATGTCAAAGGCTTCTTGGTGTGGCGGGCCCCACTCAAACTCTTCTTTGTCTTTCAATCTTAACAGAGGAGTTAACGGCTGAATCTTGCCTGCCAAGTTAGCAATGAATCTCTTTAAGAAGTTGATTTTTCCCAGCAGCTTTTGCAGTTGCACTTTGTTGGTGGAATGAGGTGATTCCAGCCTTCTTCGATGAACAAGGAATCCCAAAAAGTTGCCCAACCTTACCCCAAAAACACATTCCTTAGGATTCATTTTTAGCTTATGGATCCTTATTCTTGTTAGGGCTTGCCTGAGGTCTACTAGGTGCTGTTCTTCAGTTTTAGACTTCACCACGATGTATGGCCAATCAAGTAATGAAAAATGGCATTCATTGCTCTTTGATAGGTTGCACCAGCATTCTTGAGCTTGAATGACACTACCAAGTACTCATATGCTCCAACATGTCCTGGGCACCTAAAAGCTGTTTTGTGTATATCTTCTTTGGCCATTTTTATCTGATTATAACCAGCATTTCCATCTATGAAAGATAAAACTTTATGTTTTGTAACTGCATTTATGGATAGATCAGCCATAGGCATAAGGTATTCATCTAGCCCCATTAATGTTTCTATAGTCAACACAACACCTAACTGCATTAGTTATAGCTTTTAATATAGGTACAATGTTGGCCAACCACTCGACATACTTGGCAGGCCTAATAAATCTAGCCTTCACTAGCCTTTCAATCTTTTCTTTGACTTTTTCTTCGATGTATTTTGACATTCTCTATGGTGCTTGCTTTATAGGTTTATATCCCTCCTTAATAGATATTCTGTGTTCTACTAAGGTTGAATCTAAACCTAGCATCTCAGTGTAATGCCAAGCAAAATAATCTTTAAACTCATGGAGGAGACTGACTATTTTTGCCCGATCTTCAGTTTTCAACAGGCCACTAACTTGTATAGGCCTTGAATCTTCCTTAGTTCTCAAATTAATGGTCTTCAAGGGGTCTTATACCTCTAGTGGTGACTTGTCAGGTTCTGCACACAAAAATTTGACTAACTTTGGGCTATCTGGCAAGTCTTCTGGCCCATCCAAGTCATATATACATTCAGCCATTTGGATGGCTACTTCCAACTCCCTTCCAAAAAACTCTTCCTCACCTCTGTTCTGGCTGCTTGAAGTTGTTTTCTCTTGTTCCTTGGCCAAGCTCTCCCTTTCTTGTTTTCTTTCTTTTCCATACACTAATAGTCTTTTGATTAAGGACATGGCTGCAAATACCTGGTCATTTATTCTTTGTTTTGACATTACTGGTGTTGGGGAGTTAGGATAATATGGGGTCTATCCCATTCATCCCTTATGAGGAACAATCCTTGTTCCAAAAGCTTTTGGGCCGTCACCTTAGTTGGGCGGCCGTTCTCATCAACTCCTAAGCACTGGAGAATCCCAATACTAGGATTATAAAAGTTGGCTTTTGCCACATTGGCTATGGGAAGGAATGGTCATGACTCGGCCTCCACCATTTCCCAAAATCCTGGTCCCATGACTCATTCCTCATAGTAAACTGTTATTTGTTGATGCAAGGTATAAGGCACATAGAGACTCTGATGAATCCAATCTCGGCCTAGTAAAGATCCATAGGTGGAAATACTATCTACAACAAAGAAGGCTAGCATGATTTACTTAGAACCCAAGTCAACCTCTATGGGCAATATCCTATGGGTTTTGGTGATAGTTCCAAAGAAACTGGAAACTGTTAGATCTATGGGGATAAGATCCTCCTCACTTCTACATACCATTTTCATCTGCTTATATGGCAATACATTAATCGCAGCTCCTCTATCAATCAAAACCCTTTTGAAGGGTACTTCCTCTAGATAAGTAGTTACATAAATAGGCTTGAGATGGTTAGCTAGAGTCAAGCTTGAGTGACCGAAGACCATTCTGTCTGAGTACACTCTCAGGCTCTTTCTTTGTGAGTTCAGGCAAACTATTCTGCCAGACTCCTCTTTTCCTGTTTCTTCAACAATAACATGTGCCATCATCGGTTCTGTTGTTAGGTAATCACCCTCCATTGTGGCAAGTTGATCAGGCTTGGCGCAAAACATGGCAGATAAAACATATGTCATGTTTACGTGGAAGTTGCTAGGTTCAGGTAAGTCCTTCTTCTCACCCTCAATATGGTTCATGAATTCATTTAACCAAGCCTATGCTTCCTTTGGCAACATCATTTGGGGCAACTTTTCCTCCCGAGTTATCCCAAAGTTAGGCATTTGTTCTGGAACTTCACAAAGAGTATCAACCAACAAAGGTAAGGGTATTCTTCTTTCAAGCGAGATAGTTCCAAAACATATTGGCTCCATGCTCCATCTTGGTGTTGGCATTATTACCATGTCCTTTTGAGCTATTCTCAAGATTCTGTACTTTCCTGGATGAGGGCTTTACGGCACATGATCTTATTCCCTCTCAGTCTTGCTATTTGCCTTCTCTACCTCCCATTTGGTTCTCCAATGAAGTTGATTTCTTCCCCCATAAGGTACTTTCTCAAACTTCACATTTTCCAAGGTTTCTGATGTAGTAGGGACTTTTAATGAGTTCATATGGGCTTTGTGCTGCCTTTGAACTCTCCTGATCATACAGGCTTCTATTTCTTTGACAGGCCTCCCATTTTTTCCAACTACGTACCATTTTTGCCTGAGTCGGGCATAATCTTTCTTGGTGAATGGGGACACAATGCTCTTTGTTCTTCCCTTCATTCTGACATCATTATAACTTGGTTGGGGGGCCTTACATCCACCCATTTTGGTATTTTGGCTTCTCTGTCTTCCACTTCTTCAGAGGCTTTGTAATCTCTGAATACTTCTGACAAACCCTTTGGTTAAGAATCCCCTTCCAACCTTTGGAAAACATTCTTGGAAGTTTCCTTCTCAGCTACCCGCATGATGCTTCTGCGGGCTTCTTGTTCTTTTTCCTCTTTTCTTCTGATTAACTCCTGATCAATAATAGCTCCTAATACTGGCACTTCTAACTCACATTCACATTGACACTTACTACACAACACCAGCCCTTTAACTATGGCTACTTTGGGTCTCTTGGGTAACTTGATAGTTCATTCTGTCGGTCTATCAACTTGCTTCTTTTCCGCTTTCACTTCCTAGGTAGCTTTCCATTTCCCTTTCTCAACCCATGTCAGGTTGATCATGTTTATTGAGGCTTCTAAGAAGGGATCAGTGTCAATCATCATGTTAGTCTATGGTTTCTCCAGTAGCAACTTCCCCTTCACTATGAGGTCTTGTATCTAATCCCTAAACTGGACACAGTTAGATATGAAATGGTTGAAGGTATAGTGTAGCTTGCAATACTTCTTTCCTCTTAATTTTTTTGGTTTAGGCATCTTTTTGGTGTTGTCGAGCACAATCACTCTTGCCCGTACCAATTCTTCATAAATCTTCAAGGCCTTGGTTAAATCAAAAGAATAACTCTGGTGTGTAGGGGGCTTCATAGGGACAAATCCACCATCATTCATCACCACTTTTTGATCTTTGACTGGTTGGACTAACGCCTTCACTATTAACAGTTTGAAATGGGTAGTCATCTATGCCGCATACATATCCATCCCTTTTCTTTCGTGGCCATCACTTGCTTCTGGCTCTGTCCTTTCAAACTTTACTTGGTGGATTGTAGCTTTATTTTTATAAAAAGGGGGAACCTTGGATGAGTGTTTGACTTGTTGTTCCTCAAGCAAAAGCTTCTCATATTTTGTGGCAGTAATTACCAACTCTTACAACTCATTGAACTGTACATCATAAAACTTTTTTTCTCAAAGGCAGCCTCAAAGCTTTCTGAGCAATGGATATAAGTTGGGCATAATTAATAGGGAATTGGCACCTCATTCTTGTCCTTCTGAACCTTATCATGAAGTATTCTGTAGACTCATGTTCATATTGCTTCACCTCCATTAGGTCATTAATAGACATCTCAGGCTCCATCCTGTAGAACTGTTCATGAAAAGCCATCTCTATTTTCCCCCAGTTAGTAATAGAATTAGGGGCAAAAAAGAGTACCACTGAGATGCTAGACCCACCAACGAGTTCCCAAACAATCTTAACTTATAATTAGGATTGTCTTCAAATGCCACGCAATGGTCAGAGAACTTGAAAATGTGATCTTTAGATGACACACTGCCATCATCTCCACTAAAAGTAGGGAATGCAAACATCTTGAAGTTCAATGGAAAATGATTATGCTAATTGATATACTTGGGGTATGGCTTCTGGTAGGTGATCCTGAACAACGAACGAGCTTGGGGTTGAGCATTCTAGACCACCATCCTTCTTAACTCAGCTAACTCATCTATAAGCTGCTAGTTAGTTGCGATGTTGTATGGGGTATGTGAGGCTTCCTATTTCGGGCTGCAATCATTGCCCGATGAGGTTTCCTTCTTTGGGTCGAGCTGTCTCCACTTGGCATCCCCTTCCTTACTAGCCAATAATTGGGGCCTCTAAGGAAGAGGTTTGTCTGCCTTGGTAGGATCGCCTTTTCCACTGGATTCTCCGATTAACTGGGGCATCCCATACTTCTTTCTTTTTTGCCCGCTCTGCCCCTACTATCTAGTGAAAATAATAGGGGGTCGGGCAACTCCGCTTCTTGGATTTCCTCTAATACAGGCTGATTAACTCCAGATCCTTCCTTATTTTTTCCTTTTTCTCTCTTTTCCTCGAGCAAAGGAAATAGGGGGATAACTGGTTCTTTCTCAGGACTCGCTTCCCTCATCATTTCCCTGGCATAACCATTCTTTGGAGTAAAGTACTCCAGATCTAATCTTCTTTGTAGACTCCTTGTTAAGGAACATACTCTACTCACTTCTCATTTGGTTTCCAGAGTGATACTTTCTATAGTTTTTAGTACTTGCATCATGGTGGTTTGCAAGTCTTCATTGGTCACCTTCCCTCCTGACTTTTCGAATGAAGTTGGGCTCTCTAGAATAGTTGGTCCTTGCAAGGAAGGAAAATCCTCTGGATGATTTGTCATGCTTGATCTTAGTAGACACTAGGATGTCCCGTATTCTGTGTTTCACCCGAAGATTTTCTCCTTCCTACTTTTTCTTGGCATACAAGACTAGTATGTGTGAGTCTCACCGGGCGTGCCAAAAATATGTTTGGGCAAAGATTTCTCTGGAGAAGGCTGCTCGGACCTTAGCACATCTCCCCAAGGGATTGGAATTTTGGATGTGTAGTCGGGCTCTTACTTGTTAATGTGCTACAAAAAGATGACAAAGTTAGTTCTGAAATGTGCCTTTGTGGGGCCTTAGGTGTAGACCTTGAGGCTCGCAATCAAAACTAACTAAATGTTAGGCATGCCACTGCTATCTCAGTATATCAGATGTAGAACAAATGTGTTTTAAGTCAATTACTTATGCCCCAAGTTACTTGGACTTCTTGTTATCAAAGGATTGTCGTGGATGGGTTAAGTCCACATTAAGTTATTTTTCTTGCCTTGTAAACAAGGACTTTTAATTCATAATCTTGTATGTTCGAATGAAGGGAGTCCAGATCCCCTTAAGTCATTTGTTTGGTCCTAGATTGCTTTTAATGAAAACATATTAAACTAACCGGATCCA